AACATTATTATTCCAACAATTATACTTTTCCTGAGTTTTCTAATGGAAGTTTGCTGTCAGTTCCACTTCTCACATTTCCACCTGAATTTTGAATTTTGTTTTCTTTACATACTTTTATTGGAGACCAATGGAATGGATAGATCAGTAATTAATCTCAGCATTATTTTAGATTTCATAAGAAAAATAACTTGAGCACACAGGAACACAAATATATTTTCACCCTGTCAAAGAATAACTCATTAAATGGGTAAAATCCTTGCTACTTTGTACAACAAGATCATGCAGAAGATAAAGGCACAAACACGAGAAAAGTAAAATGGGAAATGGGAATTTAACAAATGTATTTATTTTTAAAATTATATTTGACAAAGAAACTTAGACAACTCTATATTAAAACTTTTAAAATTAAAACAGATAAGTGAGGCTTTGACAAGTTGGCTTAAAAATTTATGTGAATATTCAAAGGAGGTGAAAATCCTTATAAGAATGTGGTCTTCTTTAAGAGTTCGAGGCAATATGGAATGTCTGTTAACAGCAATAATTTTGAGGCCAGATGTCACTGATACTTTACATCAATTCTGTTATTTATTTACTTTGTAATTTTGAGCAAATTTTTAGCCTTTTTGTGCTTTGGATTCCACATTTGGAAAAAGTCCTTTGAACAGTGCTTGCCACATAGTATGGATTATCATCCTAGAAAGGGATGACTACATAATTTGTTGGACCTAGTCCGGAATAAAAATAGAGGAACTCCAACTGGGGCTAGATCTCAAGCCATTGCAGAGATTGCAACCTCTGTGCAGGAACTCACAGACTGCTTGGACAGGGAGACGACAGATATAGGCAAGGGTGGGTGAGTGGCCTTACTTATTTAACTCACCTAAGGAGCAGTGGTGCTGCCTTAACCCACTCTGAGGTAGGAGCTTTGGACATTCCCACTGCAGAGTGCAGGCTCCACTGGGGGTGGATAGTGGGAGCAGTCATAAGGCTAGGCAGGGAAGGGGAGGCCAGGTGGTTCCTGGGATCAAGCAGCAGGAGCAGGTAGTTGAAAACATCCCAGGGAGGAAGGGAGCCAGTAGGAGGCAGACCACAGGCAAAACTCCAAGACTCCAGCACATGCTTCACTGCCCCATCAGACTTAACCTACAAAACACAAATTCAAAGATAAAATTATTAAGAATTTCAAGATGGCAACCTCAGAGCATTAGCACCCAAGCATGGGGTCTTTCTGAGAGTAGGTTCCTACACAGCTGCACTGTTCTCATCCATGAAGCTGGCTATGATCGGAGATCTGAATGTCTTTGATCCCATATCTGAATGGCCTCCTCCTGCGTGGGAGTCAGTACAAACAGCAATTCTTCTATTGCTGATAGGTTTTGCTCTAAGAAATATGCCTGCATCTCCTTTCTTTCTTTTCTTTTTAGAGACAATAGTCTCACTCTGTCACCCAGGTTGGAGTACAGTGGTGTGACCATAATTCACTGCAGCCTCAAACTCCTGGGCTCAAGAGATCTTCCTGCCTCAGCTTCCCCAGTAGCTAGGACTACACGTCCATGCCACGATGTCCAGCTAATTTTTGTATTTTTTGTAGAGATGGGGGTGGGGGTGGGGTTGTCTCACTGTGTTTTCCAGGCTGGTCTTGAACTCCTGGCCTTGAGTAATCCTCCTGTCTTAGCCTCCCAAAGTGCTGGGATTAAATGAGTGAGCCACTGCACTCTGCCCTGCATGTCTTTTAATAGTGAGAAAAACTTTTGTCTCCAGGCATTTCAACAACTGGACTTTCTGGATCACTCATTGGGAAAAGATTCCCATGCTTCCTTCACATCTAATCTGCAACCCTTGAAAACACTTAGAGGAAGACTAGAGGTCCTATGAGCCATTTATCAAGGCCACCATACTGGATATAGCATCCCAGTCTACTAAGTTCCCTAGAGTTGGAGAAATAATAAATTAGCTGGTCATTCGTTCTCACAATGTATTGAGCTTTACCTATATTCCAAGTATGTGAAGGTTCTGAGATGCAGAAAGAATTAAGTGTGTTTGGAGATGCAGCTCCAAACACTTGCTTGTCCTATATTCTCAACCAGGAAAGGAATAGTAAGAAGTACAAAAACCTTGATGCCTGAAAAGCAACTTGCTTAACACATTAACTGCCATGTGAGTTGTATTTAACTCATGCTAGTTTTGAGCCCGGGGCTTCATGAAGCATA